TATTTAATTAAATAATGCACCAAAGAACACAGAATAACAACGTGCAAAAAGCAGACAATATCCTATTACTATCACAGTTTTCTGGTTTTGTAATTATGCGACAAGAGCCATTAAGAGAGGGTTAAACCATATCATGATTACTGTATTTTATGGAAGTTAATGTACATATGATGAAACAATTTAATTGTTAACATATTTATAGTTTTTATAAAAATTCAAAATAATTCATTTCATATTTACCTGCATTAAAATAGGAAGATCAGAAGCTTCATTCTTCATCTTTCCACCATCTGCAGGAGCAGCATAAACTATTGATGAATCACTGGTAGATGAGTTAGGGTAAAACACAGCCTGTCAAAAAAGAGTATTACATACTACGGTTAACATCATACACATGTCTACATAGCTATTAAAACTTATACAACCAGCGATTTAAAAATTTTTAAATATGGAAACCTGATACCATTCTTTTGTAAAACTACCACCATAACAACTGTATACATACTAAGGTGTGTTATTAAAGCACATTTCACATTTAAGAATTTCAAAGAAACGTCAGGGTCAGTTCTATTTTGTTATTAATGAAACTACAAACTAACAAAAGACAGCAAAATAGTAGTAGCTTAACTAGTGGCAAATACTTTTATTCAGCAATGCTTGAAGTCAAAGTTTCATAAATAGTTTAATCAGCTTTTTTTTTCTTTTTTGAACAAATCATGAGATGTATGAAATAAATTTTAAAAAATTGTTGTACTAAACATGTAAAGAGAGTATTTAATATGTGTGCTATCTTAAGCTAACATATCATAATGAATTTGATGTCATTTTCTTACATTCATCTTACAGTATGCCATCAAAAACAATAGTTGCTATCTTTTCATACAACAGTACTTCAAAGCAAAGGTTTATACAAAATAAACTCTTTACATTTATTACTCACAAGAATCATAATTGCTTTGGGTCTCTGCTGACACAACCAGACATAACGACAGAACCAGTTTAATGACTAATTCCTACCAAATGATTGAGAATTTAACATTCAAACAAAGCAGACTTTCTCTGAGGGTATTATAGACAGCTCCCACAAAATATATATACAGAAAAAAACTATTACCCTAAAAATTAATTTATTAATAATAATACCATCACAAGTTTCAGCCTTAAGCCTACATTACGTAACAGTTACCTGATGTGGGCCAAAGGCCTAAATTAGTCATATAATACACAGAGGGTTCAGTATGTTATGCCACTGAAAACTGAATACTTTTGGGAAGGGCATGTAACAGTCCTTCCCAACAGATATTCATATACTCAGATCATAAATAAGTGTTCCTATTGGGGATTTAGAATTTCTAAGATGGAGATATCTCTTGCACTTAATGGCACTGGAAAACAAAGAAATATGAATCAACTTGGGGAACAATGACTATCCAAAATGAGAACTGCAAACAGTATCCCTAGTTGTGATGAGCAAAGTGCAGATTCTTCTAACAGGTGAATCCCTACAAATAAAAAGATCAGTGGCAAAACCCATCTAATTGTTCAAGGCAACAATAAGGAACATAATCAAGAGAAATCACCATCTGAAAAGTCAACACAAGTTGCTTCCACAAAATATCTGTTAAACGGTTGCATACCTCAATCAGTTCGAGAGTAAAATTGGTAGTCATGATATTCCTTTTGAAAAAATCCTGGCTAATTCAGCAAATAGAGCAGCTATGGATATTTGTGTGATCAGACTGTTCAAAAGGGCAATGGGAACAATCATCCTTGTATAGTAGGTAAATCATGGAAAGCATGCAGGAAACAGTGGTGTATTTAGGACACGAAAGCCTTACAAAGAGACTTCTGTAATGGAAACTACACTGTAGAAATATTAAAGATGAAGATATCCCTTGCACTTAATGCCACTGGAAAACAAAGGAATATAGATCAACTTAGGGCACTATGACCATCCAAAATAAGAAATATAACAAATGGTACCCCAGTTGTTATAAGCAAAGTGTGGAGTCTACCACTAGGTGAAAAAAACTCCACAAACAAAAAGATCAGTGACAAAACCCATCTAAGTGCCCTAGGCAACAATAAGCAATATAATCAAGAAAAATCACCATCTGAAAAAATGACATTAAGTCTTGTGTACAAAAGTTGCATCCACAAAACATCTGGTAAATGACTGCATATCTAAATCAGCTGGGGAGTGAAATGAGTTGTCATGATATTCCATAAGAAAAAAAAAACATTGGCAAATTCAGTGAATACAGCAGCTTTGAACTTCTGTATGATCGCACTGTTGAAAAGGGCAATGGGAACCATCATCCTTGTATACTAGGTAAATTATTGAAAGCATGCAGGTAACACTGGTGCACTTTGGACAAAACAACCTTACGAGGAGACTTTTGGGAACTATGCTATAGAAATATTGCAAAGATAAGCAAACGTAAAATAGAGCATGATTGGATGTAGCGAAATGTACTCAACCTCTACATTTATCTGCAAGTTTTTTTTATAACAATATTTTCTTTTATATATTTTGTGTGAAACGATTAAGAATTTATTTGTTATGACTATATATTATCATAAACATATAGGTTATTTCCTAATGACAGACAAGCACATGGTCAAAACCACAAACATAACTAAAACAACTCCAGTTCACAAATACTATTTTCATGGATAACACTTTTTAGAAGCACCAGTGTCTGATAATAGTTATACGAATTACATACAAATAAAAGGTTATAAAAATACCACACAAAACATCTGTAATATTTAAAAAGAGCTTGAGATGAATTAAAAAATTGTATATTTTATTACAGAGATATTTCATAGTGAAGTTCACTTATGCAAAAAAAAAGTGTGAAACAACTTATACTATAGGAGTTAAGTTTTTAATTTTTAAAGACATTAATTTTTCATTTGCATTATACAATATCACAAACTGAATCAAAAAGTTCAATATCAATTATCCACTTACTAACTGGCTGTAGGTCTCAAAGGGGTTGAGAGTTTCAGACTATGAAAAAATAAGATACATATATTTTCTTTCCAGAAAAAGTTACATAATAAACAATTACCTAATCTTGAGAATTTCCCATCTATATAAATATGGCAAAAAGACAAACAATACAACAATAAAAAAACTCAAAATATACCTCTGAACTCAAAAACTGATGCTGATATAACACAAATATACAAAGCGTCTTCTATAATATTTTATGTCCATAGCTGCAAGTTTCCATATTTTTTATTCAGTTGGTAACTTGGCAATACAAAATATGAAACTGTTAATTAACTGCCTTAACAGATATCTTTATAACTTCTCTTTATTCACATAAAACATCTTGAGTCATGCAACAGAATGATACACATAAAAATTTCCAAGTATTGAAATTATCATAATTTTTTTAAAATCTTATTTAGTGGTATCTTATAAATTACCAGCAGATTAATGATACAGTAAATATAAATTAAAAGAACACATTTTTAACTATTTGCAGGTGTAAAATCTAAGTTTTAAAAATATAATACCGATTACATTTTAGTAACAAACTGAAGAACTGGGATTAAACTCAAACTTTTTAAGTTCATTGCCGTACAAGATGTATTTTAGGAATTAAACACAAATACCAGCTAAATGTCAAGCTTAAAGTGAAAAATATAAACAAATTAAAATAATGTAAATAACTTGTATATTAGAAAAATATTTTAAATTGTTAATTTTATTTCTTTCAAAGCTTCTTATATATTGGACTTTATGATCATATTAGAATATAACTTAATTTTTAATATCCTTACTGATCAATTTGTTTAGATAGAATGTACAAGTCAAATTCTCACCTCCTGAAGTACTCGCTTTAACCGTAGCAACATTGTCTTCATGCTATTTAAATCCTGACACAACACTCTGTAGGAAGATGCATCCAGTCTCATGCTACCATCTTCTCCTTCTGTGATAGTAAGCTGGCGAGGGGGCCGTAAAGGAAGGCTTACTGATCTATGTCTCCATTCTTTGAAGTGTTCTAGGGATGATGGTCTTCTAGATAGCCCATCAGCTCTAGCATGCAATCCTTTACGTTCAAGACGCATTCTAATTCCAAAAACAAACACCATATTTAACAGATCTTTGAAAATAAACAGGTTTTTATCAAAGAATTAAAATAAGATAAAAAAGATTGCATGTATACTTAGAATTAAGTTACACAGTTATGTGCATCATTACTAAAATGCACAAAACAAATATTTACAATAAATACCCGTTAAACGTGTGTTGCATATAAGCATTTCTAAACTAATGACCAAAGAATTAAGTTTGAGATGCTCGACTATATATTTCTTTTAATATTAGGATATTGGGTGCACATCAAATTTCAAAACTTAAAGACCACAAACAATAGGGTATTTTTTGTGCTTGAATGTGTATATTAAAAATAATATGAAATACTCAAGCTTATGTGGCTCCAAGCCATATTTAGTCACGGTTGGCTAGCTTTAAGCAAAACTAGTGGAAGTGCCACATGGCAAACTGGGCGGGCAAATCTACGTCACACAAGCTAAACAAAAATGGTGACAGCAGGTGAAGAGGAAGATAGGTGTAATGTGTCAATCACACCGTATATGTTTAAACCAGAGCTTGCAGATGATAATATGTCTAATGTTGACTGACGTGCACGAAGACTGGCAGTTGTCTGATCTTTCTTGGTATGGAATTGTTTCAATAGTTATATGTTACAATGTCATAAAAGACTGTTTTAAACTGCTAATGTCAGGAAAATGGGACAAAATTACAACTGTCAGTGTGGTCACATGGGTGATAATATAGTAAATCTATGAGTAAATTATAGTCAATATTCATGTTTTCAAGTGATGGATCTATATCTAGATGTAAATCTAATATCAGCTGATGGACTTCCGATAATGTATTCTGCACATACTCCGATTTGTATGTATATGAATAAATATACATTAGAACTGGAAAAGCAAACATAGCTGGGATAATATTTGATAATCGATATTGTAGATCTAGCATCTTCTATGTTGCATCTTGATATCTCCTATGAAATTTCATAAAAAAGTGCTATAAACATGACAAATAAATAAAAAGAACAGTCACTTGTTTGTCCATGCTCATTTTTTGGGTAAATAATAGCTGATAGTGAAATTTAATAAAATTTTTTTTTTGTTTTAGCAGATCTACTGGTGTATTTATAAAATTTAAATGGTTGCTGACAAGTCTATATTGCACTTAAAACATTGGCTAAAACTTGAGCTTACTCTGCCTGCATTACTTTGGAACAGCTGATTTGACATGATTATAATTGCTGTTATTGGTCTTTGAACAAGAGTGTGATGTGCCACTGGCATGAGCCTGTCTGCTGCTTGCTGGATCTCCCTTGAACTTCAGATACACACTGGGCACTGCATCTTTCTTTAGTGGCAGTTTTTTCTCTCGCAAATTCCATATCAAATTGTAGTTTATTTTCAAAGTCTGAAATTTGTCCAGAAAAAAGAAATGGTTTTCACATACATAAACCGACAGTTTTTAATGCAAAGAGAGGAAGCCGACTGTGACTGGCCTTGTTTACCATGGGTGACATCACTCGTTTCTTATTCAATTAAGCGATTGCAAAGGCTGGTTGTTGCACTAACTTTTGGAGCTTGCAGGGCCTGGGCATGGGCAAAGTATCGAAAAATGACTTGGTCTTAATTTCTAACTTTTATTTCTACAGCACTTAAATATTAACATAAACTTATTGTGTTTTAACTGTCCAACATACTTAAGTAAAAAATAATAGTTCTAAACAGTAATTACAGTAACTCAAATACTTATTGAATATTATTGCTTAGTTTATTATATTCAAACAATGCACATAAATAAAATAGCTTATAATTTAATGAAATAGACATATATTTATTACATATAATTCATTTTGACTAAGAATATTGTTACCAAAAATACTGTTACCTAACCTGACCTTACATTATTGGAACAGGTCACTAATAACATTTTGTCAAATTTGGCCATGTTTTTAGTTATCTATAACTGGAAGTAATGGCTACTGCAATTAGCAAAACAAAATATCAAAATGAAAATTAAGGAATATCAATTAAGTTGAAACTGATTGAATGTATGAAATTGAACTTTTTGATTAAGAAAAAAAAATTAAATTCTAAAACAAAATGAAGTAATTTAATGATTTTCAAAATAGTGTCTCACACCAAAATATTGGAAATATAACAACATAAAAATGACAGAAAATCTAATCAAAATAATATGAACTTTTCTGACCAAAACTAAATATCTTTAGTAAGTTTGTCCAAGTTTCAAGCATTTTAATAATAAAGTTTTTCCACTACGAAAAGGAAAAGATCAAGGGATATCCATCAGTGACACCCCCCCAGTCCAGAAAAGGTTAAACTAATAATTCAACTTTATTTTTAAACCTCAAAAACATTTAGAAATTAATTTTCACTGATTTCAAAGGTTTTGTTTTTCAAGAATATACAGCTACTCTCATTTTACTTCATTTCACTAATTTGTTTAGTATTTGAAGTGAATGAATAAATAACAATAAAAATTATTGTAAATTTCACGCTTTCTTAAATTTAGCTCAAACTGGGATTATTTATTAGTTAATAACACTTGAACAGGATATTTCAATTCTAGTTTTTGGTGAAGGACATCGTTAACAAACATCATTTATGCAGTTTAATTAGTTAACAAAGGTAACTTAAATTTCTCTTTTAAAGAAAATAAGCATTTCTGACACAAAATAAGTAAATGAAATACCTAAATTCTTAATTTGTGCAATTTTTAAAACCAAAATTATGAAAGAACATAAAAGTTTATTCTATAAGTGAATGAAGCTTTAATAAAGCTGTCACAGTTCTTACCTTGGTACACTTCTCGATTCAAAATCTGTAAAACTGTGTCTCTTTATACAAGGTCTAGTTAAAGGTGAGAACTTATCATGCTTTTCTTCTTCAATTTCATCAATTATAGCATGTTGCAGAGATTCCCTGGAAACAAGTTAGAACCTCATGTTGGTTTAACCAAATACTTTCAACAAAAACTGAATCTGGAAAACAACTTACTTTAGAACTTTGCTGAAACTTCTAATCATGCCATTGTAATTTATGTAAGTGTTCTACAGTATTTATTTACTTTCGCTGAATGACTCCAATTATCAATACCTATAATTTCTTTAACTTTACTATTCAAGCTGGTGTATTTATGCACTTTATTGTCTGGATTTACTTTTGTAACATAAGCAGCAAGTCATATGCTTAATTGACTTTGTTAAGTTGCAGCTTCTGCTTATAAATGAAGTAAGTAAGCTCTCTCTATAAGAAAGAATTTGTCATTACTGACCTTAGATAAAATCTTAAAATAATTTGAATGGATGATCATGCCACACTTATTAAGATGTGCTTCCATGTGTTCAATCTATTCATAGTCCTCAGATTTGCATGTTCTTTCACTCTTATCAAACTATTTTAAAGTCTTAGTTGTAGCCAATGACAAAAAAAGTCTTCCTATAAGAAAACTTCCTCACTCTTTAGTAGAGGCCGCAACTTAACCAAGTAACTGCAGCTGATTAGGTTATAAAAACTATGTTTATCTAATTACGTTTTTCTTATATATCTGGATTTAAAAAATGTGTCCCACTGAAATACACTTGTAATTTCAGCTTTATTGTCTCTATTACTTCTACAGTCAAAGCAAAATTTTATAAATCTCAAGTGAACATTTTCCTAATCTGAAAATGCATTTCAGATAGCTACTCGCCTCTCTGCACATCAAAGAGTTATTAAATCACACCACTACCATGAAGATTTTTGTACACACCACAAGACATGAACAAAATTACCACCTCTACGTGTACAATTGCATACAACACCATCCTATAATGTAAGCATAGCCCTCCCCCAATAAGATGGAGACACTTCCTCCATTTGTAGTAATCCCCATAAGCACTAGCATTTGAACAATAAATCATTCTTGATTAGGCAAAATACACCAGAACTACGAGGGAAGGGTGGGAGGTTGTGCAAAGAGGTGAGTAACTATCTGAAAGGTAACAAAAAAATGTTAACTTCAGAAATATTTTCTCACCTATCTGCACCACAAAGAGCTAGAATCCCATACTGATAAGATGGTGAAGGGGCTTGTGCAAATAAATAGATTACAAAGATGAGCTCCTTTCCGAAAACATATCATCAGAAAAGGAAAACCCACGGAGCGTGATCACCAACAAAGACAGAACATAGCTTAGTGGGGCATTACTCAGTGGGAGACTGCATTCATTTCTTGCAGGGAATAATAACAGAGCAAAGATACTGTCAAAAGAACCTTTTGTATAGTGTTAAAGTGTTACATAAGGTTGCACAACTGGCCAAAGCAGTGCCGAGGCAAGAATGAGTCTTTGTTCAAATGTTATTTTCATGAGTATTACTACACACGAAGAATGTTCTACCCTCCTTCTGGTGGAAGGATATAGTCTAATGATGACTACATCATTGGCTGGTGCAACATAAGTTAATACATTTAGGGTGGGAGCTTGGTTCAAGTGTTGTGACAAGAACAAAACTCTTCACAGCAGTAGTGCAAGATAATAGCTCTTTGTTGAGCAGAGAGGTGTGTAAATGTTTCTGAAATAATTTTCTTTTAGTTTATTAATAAATGAAAATACTTACTCATCTTTAGTTGCTTCTCCAAAGATGTTATCCATGGATTTCTCAAAGTCTAGCATAAGATCATCAGAAGCAAGGCTAGAGCAAGATGATCCTATGTCTGAATATGACTTCAAGCTGCCTCTACACAAAGCTGAATGTTTATCACTAATTTGATTAAAAGTACTAGCTGTTTGGAGTTGTTGTAGTTCTGATACTGACTGCTGAAGTGTGGAGCCACAAGTATTCTCATTAGTTCTTTCTTCCTCACAAAGTGTTGGTTTGAGTTGATCAGATATTTCATCATTAGAGATAAAATCCTTGTTCTCTGTCTCTAACCTTGAGTTAACTAATAACTGGCTCTTGCTATCAGGAATATCATCAGAGATCTGACCAGTGTTATTCTTAGATCCTTTAAGATAGCATCTTGAGTTACTGTCTTTATATTTACTACCTCTTGGTGATGATTTAAAAATAACTTCTTTTTCCTTGACATTTTGACTTTTATTTTTGATTTGATTTTCTGCACTACTAGTAAGTTCTTGATTCAAAACTTGTTTCACTGCCTTAGGAGTTGTAGTTGAATAATGTTCATAGGATCTTCTCTGGTTGAAACTAGAGTCACACATTTTTTTCCATGCTGGAACATCTTGAAAATGTTTTAAAGGAGGAATTTTACGGTATGCCAACAACCCTCTATAGGATCCATATGAATGAGGGTAAACAGCATCACTGCTTGACTTTGTTTGTTTTCCAGGAGAATCTGTTAATAAACTGGTATCAAAGTTATTCTGTAAGTGAAACTGTTGTTTTACTGATGGACTTTTCATATGGTACAGTGATCTTTCTTTCACAAATTCCAACCTCTTCTGTACTGCTGTTTTGGGATGCTCTGGTATTTTTGACGTTTCTGCAGAATTAAAAGCAATACTACTGTTATCTTGTGACACAGGAGAACTTTCAAAAGAGTCAAAATGTTCAACATCTTTCAGTGTGTCTGAATCATCACCTTTGTTTTCACTCTCTGCAAAACTATTACCAATCCCTGAATCTTTATCCAATAAATTGTTAATAACACTACTATAACTGCTATCTGCTTCCTCATTTGACTCTGAGGGTTGCTTGGATATTTTGGAGGACTTTGATGAAGACAACTGAATTTTGTTGTTGTTTTTATTTTGTAATGTTGTGCATGTAGTACAAGTAGTTTTGACTATATCACCACTTGATGATTCATGAGATTTAGTACGTATTTGGTCCCCATACAAATCCATTTGTGGTCGATGCCCAAGAAATTGAGGCACCTGAGGTTGAGGTAAACCGGTAATATGAGCTGTCAGCTTTGTTGGTTTTTGAAAGGAATGGACTCTTATTCTGTTACATTGACCCTTTTCATTTTCTTTGGCAACTGACTGACCAACATAATTGGGGCAACTTCTGCTAACAGCTCTTAAATTAAGTTGTCTTTCTGCCTGTTTAGTGGGTGAAACACCTAATGAATATTTTCCATGGCTTTCCAGAGAATGTAGCATTGTTCTTTGAGTTTGCTGTTTATACTTACTGTTAGAAACCATACGGTCTTGTTTATAATAAACTGCACTGCCTGATGTATTAATAACAGGATCACATGCATCTTTCTTTCTGGATACCTCAACAGTGTCAAAATTGCTCAAATTGTTGACAGGATTAATGGAATGTTTCTGAAGTAAATTACTATCAGGATATGATACTAAATTACCTGAGCAATCTTGCTCAGATTGAGGTATGCTAGACTTATTAGAAGCTGAAGTGCCTGATGACAGTGAAAATCTATTGTTTCCAAGAGCTCCAGAAGAATTTTCAAAGAAAGAATATTGTTTAGAACGACAAGGCAAATTCTTTGGATTGTTCAGCAATGAATCTTTTTGGAAACTGGCAATTTCATTTCTTTTCCAAGGTTGTGGGAGTCTACTAGAGCTAGAATTGCCCTTTTTAAATAATGAACCAAATGAAGATTCTGATGTACTCCTAACATAAGGAATAGGTCTCACAGGCTTCAAGGAGTCCTCATATTTTGCTGGTTCCATGGACACGGTAGTGTACTGGTAACTATGGTTTACACTGCTAGCTTTACAGGAGTAGCATGAGCCCATGAATGCCAAGAACAAAAAATGCAACTAAACAAGCCTGAAAAAAATTAAATATCAAATTAGCAACATATAAAGCATAACTTTAATATGGTATATTTCTTATAAACTACTTTAAAATTTTACTTTTACAGTATACAAGGCTATTCAAACTCCATTTCTTTCAAGATTATTCAATGAAATGAAAAACATAACTTATAAGGTACATGAAAACAAGCTTTTGTTGTTCAATCTTGTTTCTTATTTTATGTATATTTGTAAAGAAGTTTAATAATACAGTCTTCAAACAAGATATTTACAGAAACACATAAAATAAATGTAATAAAAATACATCATCAATATTATGGTGGGATTGGACATTTTCAGCCTAAATGGTAAATTATGTAACATATGGGCTAAATGATCAGGTCACAGATTTTAATATTCAATTACTGTCACCACTAATTTATAACTGTTGATTAGAGAAAAGGAATCCAGTATGCAACACCTGCAATCTAAACTGTTACTCTTAACTTCATAGCAGAACTGACTACCACAGTTATAATGCTCCCATAACTGAAAGGTGGAGCACGTTCGGAAAATATCATGTCTAAAACTTGAGTATTTCTGATATGCAACCTAACATGTTAACTACAGACCACACACAACCACTGTACAAATATGCAGAAAATAAAATTTTATAATACATCATTTAAGAATTCCATGTATTCCTAATTCAAAATAAGGTACCATAATAAAAGATTAATTATTCAGGTAACTAGTTGTCTATGTGACTGTACTAAAAGATTTGAAATTTAATTATTACTTTGTACAGCACTTTGGTATTTAGACTTTATGTGTGTGCATCATTTTAAGATACAATTTTCATTACTTTTTGATTCACCATTCTGCATACTTTCGATAAACAAATATGACTTTATTCAGGTCAAGAAACTCTCCATTTAAAGTAATAAATTGAAGTTTATGAAGCATTGTAGGAGAAACATCAGTAAAACATACTACTGGACCAACCTCAAGAAAAAAGTAGTAATCAAAGTTCACTTAAAGACATTAACAATTCCACTTTCCACTTTGATCACATCAACACAACTGTTATTCAAGCATACATCTAATCACTGAATTGCATATTCAGACTATAGTTTACAATTTACAAATTTATAACTTACAACCTCACTGGTATGATCAGATGTTGAAAAAACAAAAAGAGTTAAATCTAGAAAGCTGTAAAATCATGCATTTTGGGTGTGGCAGTTTGGAAAGTGTTTATTCCTTGCCTATTAAAACACTGTTGTACATAAAAATAATAATAATTTGATTCTTAAGAAAATTTTAACGTCTTTAGCTTAATGTTTAGTTTATGTGAAATTAGCTAAGAGAGTTGTGGGAATTACTTATGGCAATTAGCTAAACATAAAGACTGAGATAACAGAAACTTCTCAGGTCAATATATACATATCTAACAATTGTTTAAATGAATATAAATATCATAATCAAGTGGCTTCTAGTTCTTCGAGGGTCCAAAGACACCAAGTCAAGATATTATGTTAGAAGCTTATTTTTGCACTCTTTCCAGGTCATATATATTTATTATAAGTGAAAAAATTATTGGAAATAGAAAAAATTCTCATTTTTGTATTTAAATGTAATAAAAAATTTAATAAAGACAATGCTTCAAATTTTCCCTGATAATTTAACTTATGGCCCTGATTACTTTCTTCATTGAATTCAGATATGAAAATACACATTTTTTCAATTTACAATTCTTTTTCGCTGATGTATAAATGATTTTGAGGTTTATCTGAGTAAAGACCACATTCACAAATCCGCTATTATAATTTATTAATTGTAATTGTGTGTGTGTGTGTGTGTGTGTTTTATAGCAAAGTCAAATCAAGTTATCCTCTGTGTCCACCAAGGAGAATCAAACCCCTAATTTTAGCATTATAAATTCGTAGACTTACCACTGTCCCACTGGGGGACTTATTATAATTGTGAAGTACCAATTTATGAATGTGAATTATGTAATGTCAAATGTATACCTTGTTACATTAAAATTTGATAACTTCATTCTGCAACAAATACCTAATAACTATTATATTGTTTGTTATGGATTTCATGCAAAGCTACACAAGGGCTATCCGCACTAGCCGTCCCTAATTTAGCAGTGTAAGACTAGAGGGAAGGCAGCTAGTCATCACCACCCACAGTCAACTCTTGGGCTACTCTCTTTTACTGACGAATAGTGGGATTGACCGTCACATTAGAATGCTTCCACGGCTGAAAGGGCAAGCATGTTTGGTGTGATGGGGATTTGAACCCGCAACTTGCAGATTGCGAGTCGAGCACCCTAACTATTATATTACTGATGTAAAAAAAACTACCTTGATTACTCATCAACTGCTGGTAATCAAGAAAAAAATGTTTCAAACTTACACTTAATAAACAGTAAATGTGCATGTGTACTCATAACCTGCAATAAAAAAAAGCTCCATCTAATGGTGCTAATATACATTTTTTATACACTCTTCTGCTTATCATATATGAATTACAGATACTGCATTTTTAGCTATATTTTGGTTTTAACAAAAATAATATTTTTAAAATTCATTAGATGAATGGTCAAAATTTTATGAATTAAAGTTTTGATTAAACTAACATTTTTCCTGCTTTGATTAGTTTTAGTGAGTAGGTGAAATTTCAAAATTTTGGATTAATTTACTAATTATTTCCAAGTGTATTAAACAGAAGTTCATTTTTATTATGAAGTAGATATAGGAGAGAAGCAGGGCATAAAATTAGCTTTTCCATTCACTAATCACCAGGACTAGCAGATGGAAAAAATCCACTTGTTTCATACAAATTATACTGGTCCAGTATAATGTTTATTGATGTTTCATCAAAAACACAGTTTGCATTGTAATAATTAACAGAATGAGAGAAACTGTAAAAAAGAGGCAACCAATGAAAAATAAAAATTACATCAACTGTTACCACTGTGCAAACCATAAATAACTACAAAAACAATCTACCAAAGTCATGTTTTAGCTTGGAATTAATTTCTGAGCATGACCACCAGTTACAGCAGCAGTGTGTACATTTAAGAGAAGTATCCACTTATTTAGGGGTGTCATATTTTGGAAAAGGTAACAGATCAATTAACTCATATTCAGTAATATTACATATCACTGTACATTAATTAATAAATCATAATAAAACATTTACACAAATGTAGTTTTCCTAGATATTATTATTGGTAACATTATTAAGGCATTAGAAACCTTTATGTCTCAGCTACTTATCATTATTATGTTTAGCTGTAATTGCATTAAATTTTTGTGTTTGACTTGTATTTTTCATAAATTTTTATATTAATTTGGAACCTGAAATTGGGGAGGAAACACAATCTAAATTGGCACTGGCCCTGATATGCCCTTGATATTCATGTGAAAAATATACAATGTATTATTTATTACATTAAACTATTTTTATTTTATTGTAGCTGGTAGTTTGTAAGTCCAAAAATGATATGATGAAATTTGTAAAAAAAAAAAAAAAACACACTAAGATTTACTGTGAAAACAAGATGCAAAAAAGAAAAATGCATAAATGTAAATAAAAAAAACTAAAAAGACAGTCATAAAACTGTAACACTGAAATGAAATTTCAAAACTTGAAAAAGTTTATGAAATAACATGAAGTTATGAACAGATAACATGGCAATAAATAACAGCAAGCAACAAAGTTTAGAATTATGACTAACAAAAATGATATATAATGCTATAATTCATTCCAAAAAGTTTAGGTCTACCACTGAATCTGAGTGTACTAAATGTTGGCAAAATACTGAATTAGTTATTCTATGTGCTACGCACACTGACGTGAAACTTAGCAGTCTTTGTAGTAGTTAATGCACACAAGTCCAACAGTATAGGCTTCTTCTACACCGTAAAAAATCTTTTTACATAGCAATATTATATTACAAGATAAAAGAAAAAATCTAATACTTGTATCTAACCACTAATTTTCTTGCTAGTTATCGAGATGAAGACCAACGAGTATAGCCTAAGGTCAGTACATATAAAATCATTAACATAAGACTCATTACGTCACGCCATTAACACCTGTTTGGTGTTTTCAGTATACTTTCACAATACAATAATGCATAACAATTCATACATGCTTAAAAAACTTCAGAATGTTGGAATAACAAAACAAGTTTTATTTATTTTAACACTTACGCTTCTATCTTTGCCACCTGCCATTTGTAACTTGTACAATAAGATTCGTGTATCTTAAAAAAAAAAACAGCCATACTCTCGAAATAGGTGACTTGTGCAAAGCAAGCAAGCCACACCCAGGTAGTGAAATAACACAGCTAATTATAGTTAACTGTTTTTTATTCTAATTTAAATCACCACAACAGGTAATAGTCTTGTCACTGAATAATGTGCATTTATAAAACTTCAAGTTTAATTAACATGTTTTTTTTCCTCCTCTCAAGTGTTTTCTAAAGTAACACGTACATACTTAAGCCTGAATAGATTAATAAGAGAAAAATCAATTTTGCAGTAGAATCAATTCACTAAATGGGCAAGTACAATGAAACTCTTAAAAAAACAAATATATATATATATATACATTAAAATAATGCATGAAAATTCTTTTTTGTATAATTTTTATACAAGACTTTAGTGAATAAAAAAATTACTCAAAAAATATATTGAAGAAACATACATATTTGAACATTTAATACTACAAAAGAAAAAAAGTTGTATGGTTTGTTATCTACATTTGGTAACAAAAATATATCTTTGTCTTCTTTTTTTTAATGGGATTTAAATACTGTAAAAACTGGCCAAAACGGCCTGTGGTTCTTTGTATACGTAACTTCATAATTCTTGATTTTATATGTTAATTTGAATTTCTCACTTTAATATGTAACTGACTTGGCTTTGTAATTGGTTGCAATAAAATAGAAGGAACATGTATATAAAGCTGTCAACAAAATTCAAAAACTTTTGAAAAAATACTCAATATACG